GTCATATGCACTTTGTCCCTGCACCCATGTGGGAGAGCAGGATGGAGTTCCAGGCGCCTGGCTGCAGCCCAGCCCAGTCCCAGCCATTGTAGCCACTTGGGGAGTGAACCAGCGGAAGGAGGATTGTCTCTGTCTCTCTCCCCCCTCTTTCTCTATAACTTTGACATTCAGATAAATAAATAAATCTTCAAAAAACATTTAAGAACTATGATAGACAGGGACAGGAGATATGGGGGGGCTTGGCAGATGGGCATACCCTGAGCTGAGACCCGAATGGCCCGAGCAGGAATCTGGGGGAGGTGACGTGTTCTAGGCAGAGGGGACAGCTAATGCAAAGGGCCGGAGGCAGAAATGAACGCGGTCTGTTCTCAGAACGGCAGGGACACCGGCGGGCCTGGAGCCCACTGAGCTCTGGGGGAGGAGGGGGGAGGGTCTTCAGGTTCAAGGAGAGCCGAGGGGCTGGCTGCCAGCCACCCGGACGGCCTCTGGCGGGAAGGAGCCTGTGTTTTTGGGAGTTTTTTTCTGAGCCTGGGTCACAACGATAAAAGAACGGGAGCAGGGGGAGCAGGTGGGGGCGGTGCAACCATCCAGGGCGAGGGGTGGGGCCTCGGAGGGCGGAATGAGGAGAGCCAAGGACTGTGGGTTTGGTTTAGAGGGCACCCAGGCCCCCCAGGGAAGCAGGCCTTGAGGTGGAGCTGGGAGTGTGAAGGGGTTCGTGGGGGTGAAACCTGTGAAACAGAAACAGGAGAGCAGGCAGAGCTGGACTGGAGGGTCTCGCACTCAGTCAGCAAAGCCTTGCTCATCCCGGTAGGGAGCTCCGGGGCCATCCCGTGCGCCTCTGCGGGCTCCGTGTCGGCTGGGAGCTGTCTCCACACAGCAGGACGGAGGGCAAAGTAGGAGGTCTGCTAACCCCAGCGCAGGCAGCCGGGCGGTGAGTTCATCCTGCAGGAGCCGCGTGGGGACCCTCCGTGGTTGCCACGGCCACCCCTTGTACAGCCAGGATCCTACCTGCCCGGTGGGGTGCCCCGCAGTCCCCTCACTGGGGTTGGTCTCAGGGCCCCCCGCCACTGTTCATGCCAGCCTTGCTCTGGGTCCTTGCCTCTGCCATCCCACCTGCTACATTCACTCCCCAAATGGCCATAACGGCCGAGGCTGGGCCAGGCTGAAGCCAGGAGCCAGGAGCTTCTTCCCGGTCTCCTACACAGGTGCAGGGGCCCACGCACTTGAGCCAACTTCTGCTGCTTTCCCAGGCGCAATAGCAGGGAGCTGGATGGGAAGTGGAGCGGCCAGGACTTGAACCCACACTCCTGGTGGGTCATAGGCAGCTGCTTAACCTGCTGGCCTGAAAGGCCCCCCCCCCCCTTCTAAAAGATGACAGGCCAAGGGCTGATTGGGCAACAGGTGCTTTCAGCCACAGGTGCGGGCACAGCAGGGCTCACGTGACCCACTCAGCCCAGTGGCCTGGGGTTTTGCCCAGGCTGGCACTGAAGCCCTGCACCCAGGCCAGCTCTCCATCCTGGGAGTCAGGACTGCTGGTTGCCCTAGCGGTCTCCACACACAGTCAGAGCCGGTACAGAACGCACACCTTTCTCTCCTCCACACCCCCCGACACCCCGTCACAGGGCTGGCACCTGGTGCACAGCCTCATCTCTGTCTCAGGGCCCACCCTTGTGGGTGGTCAAGTTCCCAGGGGGTGAGTCTCCTACCTGACCTCTTCCGCCCGGGGAGCGTGCTTGGGAGCCAAGGGGCTTCTTGCTTAGGGGGTGGGGAATGAGGCTGGGACAGGGAGGGCTGCCTGTGTCTCCCCCTGAGCTGCCTCTCTCTCCCCCCTCTTTAAGGTGCTCACCTCCTGTGGCCATCTGGAGAACCCAGTGAGAGGGGCTGAGACACTGCCCACAGATCCACCTGGTCACTGAATGGCAGGAACCAGGCTGCCTACACCGCTTTGTATCCCCAGCCCTAGCTCCGTGCCCGGTACTCAGCAGGTGCTCAGAACAGATGACTGCCCTCCTTGTTTATTCCCAGTATACATTAGGTGCTTAGTAAGTGTTCATTTCCTCTTGGACTTCTTTACCTGTGATGTCCCCGGGGGACCCACAGAGCCTCAGTTGAAGTCCCCTCCCTTCTTAGTCCCTGCGGGCCCTGCCCTGAGCAGGGTCGGGTATCACAGGCTCACATGCGTGTCGGATGCACACACCCCAGGCCAGGGCCTTCCGGGACTGGGGGACCCAGGGCTCAGCTGGGGCCAGGGGTGCTCGTGGTGGTGTGGGAGAAGGGAAGGGAGGGAGGGAGGGGCGGGAGTTGCTTCCTCGCTGGGGAAGCCCAGAGATTCCCACCCAGAGTCTCTGCCTCGCTGGAACAGTGAAGGGAGCCAGTGCCGCGCAGGTGGGCAGGAAGCAGGGACATCTGTTCGCACAAGGCGCGGGAGGGCCGAGAGCTGAGGAGGAAGCACGCGTCCTCCCTGCGGGCGCCGGGACTTGGCTGGGGCGCGCGTGCCGGGGGCCAGGCCCAGGAGGGAGGCCAGGAGGGAGGCTGCTCATGAGGCTGCCTCTGCTCCCTGCGGCAGCGCCAGGCGGCGTGGCGGTGCCCGCAGCGGCTCCCGGGCACCCTCGTCTCCCCTCCCCCTGGGAACAGGTCTGTTTCTCTCCCTGCTTCTTGCTGTAGCGGGCTGCACCTGTGCATCCCTGGAGCACCGTGTTCTAACGGTCTCTGTCCCAGAGAAGAAATTCAGAGGTCCAGCCATTGGCCTGGGTGTCGCAGGTGGACAGCTGGCCTTTGAACCTAGGTGCTGTGAGCTCCTGCCGGGCCCCGGGAGCCCGCCCAAGCCCATCACCACTGCTGCGCCTCCCCCAGGGCTCCCGGCTCCTGTGGCCGCTGCAGTGGGCTTTAACTCGCGTTTTCCCCACGAGGTCATGGAGTTCTTGAGGTCTGAACCCACTGCGTGTCCAGGGTGGATCTGCTTGGCTTCTACGCGGTGGGGCTAGCGGAGGCACGGGCTGCCCCTCCCAGGCTTTGCCAGGGATTTTCCACTTGGCCGGTGTTAGTCTAACAGTGGAGCTCCAAGCCCCGTGTTCAGCTTCTCTCTCCCAGCTAAGTCTGCCCGACGCTGGAGGAGGAAGGAGGCTCGGTGGCTTCGTCCACCAAGACCCCCGCTTGCCCTCCTCCCCGCCCCTGCTAGGTGCCTCTGGCCCCGTGAGGGTTGGAGCTTCCGGGAGGGAGGAGACAGAGGCGGCTGGCGGGTCTGACCTGGGTGGTGAGAGGAGGGGTGTTCTCAGACGGGCTCAGGTGCCTGGAAGCTGGCTCTTTCTTGCCAGGGGCACTTTTGGTGGTTCTTCAGGGACCCCCCCGGCAGGGCGTGTCCTACCTGCAGCCCCTACCCAGGCAAAGCGGCTCCCTGGTGACTGCTGCTCCGATTCCCCTTCAGAGCCTCTTCCGGGGAGTCCACCCAACATGGGTGCCCCACTGGGTCACCACCCCTGCCCAGTCCCGCCCCATTCTGTCGGGCAGGGTCCTACTTCGAAGCAGCCTTCGACCGGCATCCTGGAGCCCTGTGTGGGCAGTGAGCCCACCCCTGCTCCATGGACACAGCACACTAGCTGGCCTCGCAGCTGCCCTTGGTCACCCATCTCCCCCCTCCCAGCACCTGTCGTGCTCCCTGGCTCTGAGAAGCCCCCGCACTTGGCTTGAGGTGGGAGGAGCAGTGCCACCGCCTGTCGGTACAGAGCCCCCTGGCCCAGGACCCCCCATACTGCCTGGCCAGCTTCCTTGGCTTCTTAGCTTTGTGGAGCGGGGGATAGGAACCAGGAGTCATTTTTTTCCTGGCCTCTTTTTTCCTGGCCTCCACTTTGGCCCAGGTCATTCTGTCCATCGTCCTCAGCTTTGGGGTTCTGGACTGGGCTGGCAAGACAGACGGGAGGGACCGCACTTCCACTCAGGGGTCAGTTAGTCACAGCGGCTGGCAGCTCCCACCAGGGGAGGCGGTGAGTCAGGCAGCCCGTGGGGGCCGGCGCGGGGCAAGGGGACAGCTTGCCCTCGGGGGGCTGACTTGGGCTGTGGAGCATGAAGGCGTCCCATCGAGGCGCCGCCGAGAGCTGAAAGTGTGGACTTTGAAGTCGGCTGCATGACTTACTCATGGCGTCACCCGGAGCCAGTGACTCAAGCCCGTGGCCGGCCGTGTGCTCAGCACACCGGTTGGGGGAAGCTCCAATGCGTGGCTCAGAGCCTGGCCCGCGGCACACTGGGCAAAGCTCGTTACAGTCCCGTAAGGAAGGGGGCATTGCTACCCCTCCCCATTGTAGAGATGGATAAACTGAGGCTCCAGACAGATTAGCAATAGGCACAGGGTCCCTCACAGCCGGAAGTCCAGCTTCAGACCCACCTGCTGTGCCAGGAAGCTGCGGGGCCCCATCCGGGCTCCACTCGCTGGGGGTTTCTGAGCGAGTTCCGCCCTTCCTGGGCCTCGGCTCCTCGGCTGTGTTCCTGGAGTTGGCAGGATTTCGTGAGGCAGTCCTGACAACATCATTAGCTGCAGGAGACGTCAGCAAGTTCCTGGCAAAGGGAATGAAAAGCTAAGTTCACTTGGGTGAAAAAACATTGGAAATCCATGCTTAAATTTTCATCATTCACATTCCCCATACAACGTGAGCAACAGAGAGAGACAGACAGGGAGACACAGGTAGAGTGTGTTCACCCTCCAAGTGCCTGCTACGGCCGGGTCTGGGTGGCGGCCCGGGCCCCCCAGGCAGCTGGAGTCAGAAGCCAGATGTGGGCGTGGAACTCGGGCACTGTGATGTGGGATGCTACCCAGACACCTGCTCCTCCACCCCAGTGAAGTTATCGATGACCCCTCCTATTCTTAGGGTAATTCTCAGTTGGAGAGGCTAATTCGAGGAAGCCCATTTTACAGGTGAGGCTACAGAGAGGTGGCAGGGCTGGGAATGGGGGCAGGACACGAGGAGCTGGTAACCAGGGAGCTGGGACGCGGGCGGAAGGCAGAGGACCGCGCAGGCTGGGCTCGTGGGCCTGGAAGGTGTCCCCTCCTACCATCGCCTCCTTCAGTCCTCCCAACTGGGAGTCCTGCTCTCCTGTGAGGCTGAGGAGCCCCGAGGCCCCGAGGGGTGAGCGGTGGCCCCGGAGCCCCACCTGCCTCTGGACCAAGGTCTCCATGGCGTCTGCTGCTGACAGGTGGGCGGGTGGAGGAGCTCCTGGGAGGGAAACGGAGCAGCAGCCAGATCCATCCCACCCGCTAGGTTGGACTCCTGGGGCCCAGGCTGCGGGCTGTTGCCAAGGGAACCAGAGAGCTGCCAATCACACTAATGAGCCCCCCCACCATGGGGGCAGGGTCCATATTCTCCTTTTCCAAAAGAAAGGTCCCCGCTTCCTTCTCAGAGCTGGGGTAACTGGGGGCAAAGGGGGGTCCTGGCAGCTCTGAGTCCCCCCTTCAGTAAGGGGACGCCTCCCTTGGGCTGGGACTCCAGACCCCGAGGCAAGTCGGGCAGGAGGGAGTGGAGGGGTCTTGTCTTTATTTCTCAGCACCCCCGCTGCCCGCCCTGCTGCCTTTGCTGTTTCTACTAGCCCGCCCTGGCTCTGCAGGCCCTCTTGCTCATAAAAGCTGGCTGCTGGTGGCTGTCATTTGAACGGAGGCTTGTGTCTTTGTCACGCCCTGAGCCCCTTCATCCTTTGGAACAGAGAGAAGACTTTGGTACCAAGTTGTCTAATGAAGGCCTTATCCCAGGGGGATCTGGGAGGGCTCTGAGGGCGCCCTGTTCCCATCCAGCCTCAGCTCAGACGGGCCGTGCACCTGCTGGTCTGCCCTCCGCTGGGCATTTGCACATCCATCCTCGCACCTCGCAATTCTAACGAGATATCAGAAGTTTGGGGAGAGAGCAAGATGCAGGGTAATGAGAGAGCTGAGTTACTGTCTAAATATCTGAGGATTCGTGTTTTTTGACTTTTGATTTATTGAAGAGAGGGAGAGTGGTTCATTCCCCAGATGCAATAGCTGGGTCTGGGCAGGGCTGAAGCCAGTAACCAGGAACTCCATCCAGGTCTCCCCATGGATGACAGGGGCCCAAGTCCTTACGCCATCGCCTGCTGCCTGCCACGGTGTGCACTGGCGGGAGCTGGGACCAGGAGCAGAGCGGGGACTGGGATGCAGCATGCCGATAGGGAACGTGGTGTCCGAGCCAGCGTCTTTTTTTTTTTTTTAAGATTTATTTATTTATTTGAAAGGTGGCATTACAGAGAGGCAGAAAGAGAGAGAGGTCTTCCATCTGCTGGTTCACTCCTGAGATGGCTGCAATGGCTGGAGCTGAGCTGATCCAAAGCCAGGAGCCAGGAGCTTCTTCCGGGTCTCCCACTTGGGTGCAGGGACCCAAGGACTTGGGCCATCCTCTACTGCTTTCCCAGGTCATAGAGGAGCAGCTGGGATTTGAATCAGCGCCCATATGGGATGCCGGCAGCGCAGGCGGCGGCTTTACCTGCTATACCACAGCGCCAGCCCGGTGAACCAGTGTCTTAACTGCCAGGACAAATGCCCGCCTCTCAATTGTTTTTCTTATTATAGTAAAACACACAACCTAACATTTACCATCATAGCTACTTGGACGTGTGCCGTCCCATGGAAGGAAATCCTCTTACAGTGCCGCGCGGCTCTCACTGCCTCCAGAACTCTTCTCGTCTTGCAACACTGAGACCCTGTACCCACTGAGTGCCGCTCGCTACGCCCTGCTCCCCACCGCTTTTGGCTGCTCTAAGCACCCCCGATGACGGGGCTCAAACAGGGCTGTCTTCTTGTGCGTGGCTTAACTCACTCAGCCAGCCTGGTGTCCTCGGGGCTCACCCGTGTGGTCCCAGGGGTCATAATCGCCTTCCTTTCCAAGACTGAATAGAATTCCATTGACACGGGCACCGCCCCGCTCCTCCGTTCATTCACCAGGGGACACTTGGGTTGCGTCTGCACTTTAGTATTGCAATGACGCCGCCGGCAACCTGGGTGTACCAGTATCTCCTGGAGCCCCTGCTGTGTATGAACCCAGGAGTGGAAGAGCAGCTCCAAGGGTGATGCTATTTTTTTAAGATTTTTATTTATTTATTTGAGCGGTAGAGTTACAGACAGTGAGAGGGAGAGACAGAGAGAAAGGTCTTCCTTCCATTGGTTCACTCCCCAAATGGCTGGCAACGACCGGAACTGTGCCGATCCAAACCCAGGAGGCTCTTCCTGGTCTCCCACGTGGGTGCTGGGACCCAAAGACTTGGGCCATCTTCTACTGCTTTCCCAGGCCACAGCAGAGAGCTGGGTTGGAAGAGGAGCAGCCAGGACTGGAACCAGCGCCCATATGAGATGCCGGCGCCATAGGTGGAGGATTAACCAAGTGAACCACAGAGCCACCCCCCGCCCCTTTTTAGGACTTAACATACTGTTTCCCTCTTCAGCTGTACCATCTGATGCTCCAACAGAGCACAAACTTGCCGACTTCTGCACACCCCCCCCCATTCATCTTTTTTACCAGTGGCCTTCCTAATGGACGCAGGTGGTCTCTGGTTGCAATGTTGGTTGGCATCTCCCTAACGAGCATGTCCCCAGGCGCTGACTGCGGGCCACTTGGACATCCTCGTGGGAGGAATGTCTCCCCAGTCCTTAGCCTGTTTTTGAGACAGGCTGTTTCGGTGTTGTTGAGTGCCCTGTGTATCCGGGATGCTAATCCCTTATCAGAGATATGATTTGCAAGTATTTCTCCCACTGTGTGGAAGACAGTTTTATTCCTTTGATAGGGTTTGGTGAAAATGTAAAAGTTTTCATTCAGCCCAATTGATCTATTTTGTTGCTTGTGCATTTGGTATCCTAACCAAGAAATCGTCCCCAAATCCAATGCCGGGCAGCTTTTGCCTGACATTGACCTGAAGGTTTTGCACCTTGCACTGAGTTCTTCCATCCAGTTTGCGCTAACTCAGGCGTTTGCACGTGCATATCCAGTTTGCTCAGCACCGCGTGTTGGGAAGTTTATTCTCTCTCCATTGAAAGGGCTCAGCACCTTTGTCAAAAGTCATTTGGCCATAACTGCCGGGTGCGTGTCTGGCTCTCCCCCCCGCCCATTGGTCCTCACTGTCTACCCCAGCAGCAAACTGTCTTTTTTACCGCTGGCTACTGACTTCTACTTAACACGATCCGTGGCATCAGGGCTGCTTTATGCCTTACGATACACATGGTGATTTTTGAAATTCATTTCGCCCGAATAGGGTGAGCTGGGTGCAGACCTCCACGCCCCTGGATCCTGCAGGCTGCTCTCGTCCTGTGGCCGGCTTCCCCGGGCACCAGGCTATTCTGGACTGTGAGCGCACGTGCACCCGCATTTTCTCTGGGAGAACCCTGTGTGGTCCCGACCACGGGTCTGCCTCTCGAGACGGCTGCTTTTGCTCCTGGCCCGTGCCCTGCGGTGTAATCGGCCCCAGGTTGGGTTTAATTTTTTTTATTAATTAGACTTGCGAGCTCTCGGACCATGCGGAAAACACGAACTCTGAAGTCAGATCTGTGATTGGGGGTGGGGTGTGTGTGGTTTGTCTACACAGAGAATTCTGCTTCTCCCAACAGAGGACTTGCTGACCTCTCTCTTTGCAAATGGCTGGTCCCTCCCCCATTTGCTGAGGAAGTGCATCTGGTCTCCCCTGCCACTTCCTGTGCGACACGCCCCCCCCCCCCCCCCCGCCCGCTGTGGCTCAAGTGACCTGAGCCGGGCTTTGCAGGCGGGGAGCCTGGTGAAGTGTGTCCTCCCCAAAGCCAGCAGTGTGCAGACTCGGCACACAGCCTCACGCCTGGCTTGAGAGAGGGCTCAGCGATGGTTTTTAAAAGATTAATTTATTTATATGAGAAAGGATCTCCCATCTGCTGGTTCACTTCCCAAATGGTTGCGTTAGCCAGGGCCAGGGCTGGGCCAGGCTGCAGCCAGGAGCCAGGAACGACATCCAGCCTCCCACGTGGGTGCAGGGCCCCAGGCACTCGGGACACCATCCACTGCCTTCCCAGGTACATTGGCAGGGAGCTGGACTGGAAGCGGAGTCCCAGGTGGCGGCCTGCCCCGCTGCGCCCCATGCCCGTCTGGCAGGCCCTCTGACCTCTGACCCCCTCTTCTCCCAGACACGGCCTGGCAAGGATGGAAAAGCCAGGGAATCTTCAGCTTTTCACAAAACGACCGAGTAACTTGGCAGAACTAGACGTTCTCGCCCCATCCCGCCCTTACCCCCAGCCCCTCACTGACTCCCCAATCTGGGAGGCCCAGGAGTGGGGTGAGGTGAGGGCCGGGGGCCAGGCCGGCCCCGCCCAGCAGAGGACCCGTGCACGGCCCCCAGGCCACCTCAGAAGGGGTCTTTGTGCTCTGGGCCACTGCCCCACCCTTTCCTGTCCTTGGCACAAACCCTCTGATTCCTGAGATGCTGCCTGGGTCACCAGCAGACCCAGCTGCTCAGTGACAGTGTGACAGAGGTGACGCATCCCAGGAAGCACCCGTGGGGCCTCCGTGCGCCCAGGGTTTGGGGCCGGGACTGGAGCCCCGTGCTCCTCAGGCACTTCCCTGTCTGGCTGCTTCTGCCCCAGGAGACCTGCTCTCAACAGGGGCTCCCTGGGCACTGGGGAGGGCCCTCCAGCACTCCGCAGGTGTTCAAAACCCGGAGCACTGAACATGCAATTCAGGGAGCAGAACCTGGAGCAGGGGCCTGGGGGACTGCAGCCCGTCTGGGCAGCTCCCCCTGCAGTCAGTGCTCTGGCCACGGCCCCTGCTCCCCCGCCGGTCCACCTTCAGCGCTCCAGGCAGGGACACGCTCGCAGCCGGGGCCACTGGCAGTGCGGGGTCAGCTGGGGTCCCAGCTCTGCCTCCCAGTCCCGCAGGAGGAGGGCGAGGTCTGAGCTCACTGACAGAGAGGCCCAAGGGCCCGCTGAATGCCAAGGGCCACGCTGAGGGCAGGGAGCAGGTGCCCAGCGCCCAGCAGGGCCGGGGCCAGGTGTGGGAGCTGCCCTTGCAGAGGGGAGCCAGGCCCTGGGCAGCGCACCTCACCATGTGCGGGTCAGGAGGAGACGGGCAAAAGGGGGGCTGGGGGTGTCCAGAGAGCAAGCAGCAGGGAGACAGGCCCCTGGGAAAGCATGGGGTGGCTGCTTTTGGGGTCCACTCCCGTGGAGAGGTGGCCCCCAGCACCCAGACATCAGCTGTGACAGGCCCCAGTCTGAGCAAGTGTGTCCCACGATGGGTGGGAAGCCCCTGGCCTTCAGCTCTGCTCCCGCAGGCTTGACCCCAGGCCGGCCCCACCCCCCAGGGCATGCGGGAGGGGCTGCAACAGAAATGACAGACACACCCCTTGCCAGGGCTGGCCCTCGGTTCCGGAATGTGACAATTTATTTGGGGGGGTAAAGGAAGTCCCCCCTTTCCTGGCATGGATACAATACTGAAGAGCAGCAGAACAAAACGTACAAGACAGAAATCGGCACGACCTACCCTCCCCCGGCCCAGCAACGGCCAGAGCCCCCAGCAGGACGCAGGGGGTGGGAGGGGGGACCGCACCCTGCTCTGTTCCCGCCAGCCCTGCCCCACTCCCACCTGGCACCAACAGAAGCAACGTGGAGGCGGCCAGGGGCTGGATGGCTGAGAGAGAGAGAGAGAGAGAGAGAGAAAGACAGTGCCCCTCCCCCAATATAGAGCTATATATGTATACTTTATATATATAGAATCCATCCGTGCACAGTTCATTAAATGAGCTTTTCAAAAATTAAAAAAAAAACATAAGATACATATTCCTTTAGGCCTTTGTGTTTTTAAATTAAAACCAACAAAAAGAAGTCTCTGCCTCCACTCTGACCACCTGCATGGCCGGGGCACCGGAACTCTTAGCTCCCGCATTGGCCTCGGGCCAGTGCGGCCCCGCCAGGCCCCCGGCCCCCTCCCACCCCTAGCTGATGCTCGGCACACAGTGGCGCTCCCAGTGCTGGCGCAGTGCTTACTCCTTCAAGGCTGGGGTGAGAGGCCCACAGGCCTCGGAGGTGGGGTCCTTGGCCCCCGCCCAGCCGGGTCCCCACCCTCGTCTGCAGATGCTGTGGGCAGGACAGGGGGCCGGAGAGACCCTTGCCCGGAGTTTGAGGCCCTAGCTCTGGGCTTCCCGAATCTGAGAGGAGATGCGGAGGGAGACAGAACTAAAACTTTAAAAAACACCGTCCTCTCCTCTCTGAAAAAGTGATTCCTCGAGCCGCACGCGCGCCCCCCAGAGGCCGCCTTGGGCTGGCGCACGGGAGCCCCAAGGCCACACTGACCCGCCGGGCCTGCGCTGTCCAGCGTGGGCGAAGTGCAAAAACAAAACAATAAAACCACACACAGAAAAGCGGGAAACGGAGCCTATCCTTCCGGGTTCCCAGAGAGGTCAGAATGACGGGCAGCAGCCCATGGACAAAAGGCTCTTCCTCCAAGCCGGCCCCCCAGCCTCCTGCGGGCTCCAGGGTCTGGGCAGGGTCGCACCATCCTCAAAGGCGGCTGGCCCAGCCCACCCCTGACCCCACCCCGGTGAGCAGCCTTGCTCCCCCCACCACGCGCTGAGAGCTGGGGACCAGATCATCACCTGTCCCCACATCAGAGCACATGAAGCTCATTTTGACCTTGACCCCTCTGCAGGGAGAGAACACAGAAGAGACCACAGCTGGTGCTGCCCAACACACCCATTTCACAGACGGGCAAACCGAGGGTCCCAACCTTCCATTTCAAATGGCAGACCCCGGACCTCATCTGTTTCCTATGCCACGTGGGTGGGGAGGGGGGTGCGCTTAAGCGGAGCTGAGTGATGCCCCACCCAGTGTTGGACACGGGAGGAGCCTGGGATTTGGGGACCATGTCACGTACAAAAATAAAGCGAACCAGACTGCAACTTCGGCTGGATAACTAGGCAAACGGAAAAGCAGCAAGGCTGGAGAGGGGCCGGGAGGCTGACCTGTGCAAGTGGGTGGGGGCAGGGCGGCAGGTCCCTTCGGAGTGGTCACCGCCTGCGACAGCTTCTTCCCCCTCAAGGCTGCGTGCCCTCCTGGCCAGGGCGGCTTGGGATGTCTTTGGGGTGGTGGGGAGCGAGGAGGGTGGTAGGGAGCAGGCCTCCCTGGAGAAACCTGCCCCTGCAGCTCCTCTCCCCACTCCCTCCCCAGGGGCCAGCTGCGCGGCTTCCCTTTGAGCAAGGCTCGGGGTGGCAGTCGGGGCCGGGCCAGCCGGGCAGGCCTACCCGAGGTGTGCCCGCGGGGCCTGCGACACTGAGAGCCCCCAGGCGGGCCCAGGCCCCCACCCCGCTCCCCACCTGCCCCTCACCTGTGCAATCGCTGCGTTACTAGTTTTTCTTTAAATATCTTTCTCCCCTCCCCCCCGCCCCACTAGGAATACCACAATATTTTTGTCTATTTCTTTTTTTTCCTCTTTTTTTGCTTTTTTTTTTTTGCAAAACTAATTCTTTCACTTTCCTGTCATAAAATCACCTCTGAAAACACAACTCTTTACAAAAAAAGTCACGAATGACACGGACTCTCGGGAAAACACATTGCTATGGTCTCTGGAACACCTGTAGCTGGCACCCAGGCGGTCACGCGCTGGGGAGGGTGGGGGAATCACCTCCAGGGACAAGGCGAAATTCCAGCCCTTATTTGGGGGAAAAGCCGATTGGCACTTGGGCGGCCAGAGCCAACACAAAGGGCGGGACGGGGAGGGGGCCCTCCTGCCTGCCAGGGGCCCCCGCACAGGGTCTACAGCCTGGGGCCAGGGGCAGCGGGCAGCCCCCCAAGGAAGCTTCAGGACAGAGTGTCCGCCCCTCCTGGGACCACAGGTGCTTGCGACCTGCTGGGCTCCCACTCCTGCCTTTGCCCTCCGGGCAGAGGTACCAAGGGCTGCTGGCTCCGGCCACGCCCAGCTGAGGCCTGGGCAGTGGCCCAGGGGGCCAGCGGGAGACCGAGTCCCCTCCTGACGCCCGCCCTGCAGCTGGGGCTTTGGTCTCTGCGCTGGCATGCGTGGCTCGGCTCCCCGGCAGCAGAAGGCAGCAGAAGCTGCCGAGGGCAGCCGAGGCCTCCCGCTGCGCCGAGCCGGCTGGGCTGAGAGCCTCAGCGGTCAGAAGCACACGGAGCAGGTGGGAGATGCCGGGAGACCCTCGGGGACGGCTTCCAGGCCCTTTCTGTCCTCCCCAAACACCCGGGAGGAACGGGAGCCTTGGGATGGGGGTCTCCCCTGTCCAGCTCAGCCCCCAGAGCAGCAGAGGCCCAGCAGGTCGGGCGGACCACCCCCAGGAGCGGGGCAGGGGGCACCTCTGGGCCAGCCCCACAATGGCCAGACTGGAGCCAGGGCCCCAGGCCCTACCGAGGCGAGGGAGGGGCCGAGCACCCATGTACGCGTGGCCCCTGCACGAGCACGCGGGACAACACACCGGGGCACACACTGCCGCAGCAGGTTCTCGTGGCACCTTTGGTCAAGAACTGCGGGGCCTTCGATGCTGGGGTGCCCTGGCGGCCCTGGGGAGGGGGCTGAGGATTCTACTCGGGCCTCACCCAGAAGCCAGCAGCTTGGACCCCCTCCCTGGTCCAGCTTCAGAGGCCCCCGTTGATGCGGAGGGAGGGGTCTAGACCGCCTCCCCCCCGTCCCCCCTCTAGTGGCTTTGCCAGATGGGCAGGAGGGGAAGGGAGCGTGGCCACCCGGGGTGGGGGTCTCCTAAGGGCCCCACAGCTGCCGGCTTAGCACCGAGATCAGATGCTGTACACGGAGGCGGGGAGCGAGCCGGGGAGGCACGGGGCGGGGTGTGGAAGGGACAGGTGAGCCCCGCAGGCCTGCAGCTTCCCAGAGACCGCCCAGCAGGCCCCGCTGTGCGTGGGCAGGGACGGTGCCAAGAGGGAGCGCTTCTGGGTGCCCATGCCCTGCCCCCTGGCCTTCGGCGCCCACCCCCTGGCCTTCGGGGGGCTCCAGTTCCCAGCCCCATCACCCCCGGGTCAACACGGAGCCACTGGAGACAAGCAAAGCACAGGTAGCGAGGTCTGAGGGCGGGGACAGTGGGAGCCAGAGTGACTTCAGGCAGGAGGGCCCCCCCCACAGCCCCCCTCCCGGGGAGCCCCCTCACTTGCTCCCCCCGCTGCCGCCCCCGCCGCCCCCCGCGGCCGCGGCCCCCACCCCCGCGGCCACCTTCTCAAAATCCTCGGGGTTGCAGAATTCCTTGATGGTGACCGTCAGGAGGTTGCTGGTGACATCGGTGACGACGACATTGGAGCAGGGGGACATCTCGGGGCGCCAGTCCCCGGCCTCCGGCTCGGAGGCTGTGGGCAGTGCCTGGCCGGCAGCTGCCGTGGCATCAGGGGGCACGCGCTTACTGGCAGCCGCTGCCTCGGGAGGAAGGGACAGGTCGAGCACCTCGGGCTGGCGCCAGTCGGGCGCAGGGAGGGTCTCGGGGAGCAGCTTGGGGGGCGCGTCGTCGGGGTCGGAGGAGGACTGAGGCGTGGAGCTGCGGGCGTCGTAGGGGGCGGCGGGGGCGGCCAGGAGCAGCCCGGGGCCCGGGGCACTGGCGGCGGCGGGCGGGGGCGCCAGCGGGGCGGCCGGGGGCTTGTAGAGCGCCAAGGCGCCCAGCTTCATGTGGCGGATCTGCGTGCGCAGGACGCTCTCGCTGAACTTCTTGCTCTTCCCGATGACGCGGTTCCTGGACGGCACCTTGGGGCGGGCGAGCGCCCCCGCGCCCTGGCCCGCGCCCGCGCCGCCCGCGCCCTTGTCAATCACTTTCAGGTTCAGGATGACGCGGCTGCGCTTGGGCTCCCGGGGCTTTACCTTGCGGTTGAGGATGCGCACGGTCTCGGAGAAGGGCGAGATGGGCGGGCGCAGGCCGGGGCTGCCCCCCTGCGGGTCCGGCCGCGGCAGGGGGCGGCGGGACATGCGGTGGCAGCGGCGGATGTCCTTCTTGAGTCGGTGCACGGCGGCGCTCGAGTGCAGCTTGGGCGTGGACGCGCTGGCGCTTGGCTTGACGGAGAAGTGCACGTCACTGATGCGGAGGGCCTCGGCCTGGGCCCGGGCCTGCGGGCAGAGCGGGGGCGGTGGGTGGGTGGGACCTCAGGGCTTCGCGCCGCCCCCTGGGGGCCCCCAGCGCCAGCCACCCCTCCGTGCAAGGACGGGAGAGTCAGCGGTACCCGGGACCCCCCTGCTTGGAGAGGTCCAGGGAGGCGAAGCTACCTGCCTGGGGCCAAAGCCCAGACCCTGGGCTGGCTCAGCCATGGGCACTGGGGGCACAGCCAGCCTGGGTCAACAGGACACCTAAAAAGCCAAGGCCCAACGCCCTCTCCACAAAGGACCCCGGCCCAGCCTGGCGCCGCCCTGCCAGCCACTCACTCAGTGCCAGCGAGGACGGGCGGATCCTCCCTCCTGACCCCACCGCCCGTCACCAGCACCCCTGGGTGTGATCCTGTGTGCCCAGGACCTGGCTCGGGAGAACGGATGACAACAGGCTGGAATCCAACCCAGATCTGGTGGGGAAGTCTCCCGGCGGGGACGGGCGCCCCCTACTGTCCGGGCCCAGCTGCCCTTCAAGCTCCAGACTGAGCTAGGCAGCGGCTCCCTCTCCCTGAAGGCACAGGGCAGGGCCTGGGTTCCAGCTCCACCCAGCCCTTATCGGAGCACACCCTGGGCGACAGAAGCTGTGCCGCTCAGCCAGCCCTGCCTTCCATCCAGGCACTAACGAGGCTGGGTCTCTGGTGCATCGCTGGGTGCACAGGGGGCCAGGCAATAGGGGCACCGACCCCCTTGTGGGGGAGGCTGTGATGGCAGAGCCCGGGGCAGGCAGAACCCTGGGCTGATACCACGCGGCTCTGCAGGCTGAGAGCCCGTGGCCGGGAGCTCCCCGCGGGCCAGGCCGGTGTGGCGAGAGCTGGGGATACAGCGGGGGTGTGCATCTGTGTTACATGTCCTGGGACCCCCGAGGGACAGAGGAGGAGGACACAGCCCCCCAGATGGCCGGTGAGGCTCGGCGGAGTGGACTCTGCGTTTTGAGGTCTGTCCATTTCCCCATACTTAATCCTCTCCAGAAGAGGTCAGCCTGTATTTGGCCACACTCATTGGCTGACCGTGTGACGGCGTCTTTGCTCCGAGTGCTGCCTCCCAGCTCCCACCCCGAGTGCCACGGGGTGCCCACCTCCACCTGGGGCCGGCTGGAGCTGCGCAGCCAGAAATCCCTGTGGCCACAAGGTGGCAGCACACACGGCCAAGGCCGCCGGCTACCTCTGCCCCCCGACACTGGGCCCCTCCAACCCCTCCCCATTCAAAGGCAGGGGAACAGAGCCTCCTACAGGCCTGTCCCCAGGGGCCTGGGGGATCCCCAACTTCTCAGACTCCCAGGGTTTAGCACCTCCCCCGCATGCCAACTGACCGCTGAGCGAGTCCAGCAGTAGCTCAGCCTTGGGGTGTGGGTGACAACAGGCCCTCCCTCCTCCTAACCTGACCCACCACAGGGCACCCAGCACCTGCTGTGGGCAGGGCCGGAACTCGGCTCACGGGAGCTAGCATCTTCTGCCCGTCTCCCACGTTTCCACGAGCAATGCGTATTACTGTCGCCTCCAAAGGTTGTTGGTAAAAGGGATCGTCTTACTTCCTCCTCCTCCTTCCTCCCCGGATTGAAAATTCCTTGAACGCGGGCCCTGGATCTGCTGGTGAATCAAAGCTGACTGCATGGCCATTGGGTGGCAGGCCTGGCTCTGGGGCTCTGGGAGCTGCACACTGGGGAGGCTAGAGAAGCCCCCCCGCCCATTTCCACGCCACACTGGGGACACAGGGACCGATGTCGTGGGATCCTGTTCCCTTCAGGGTGGCACTTGGCAGCCGGTGCCATGAGGGTGTCACTGGCAGCTCTGCCACACTGCCCCCCCCCCCGGGAGGCACGGAGCCATGGGTTCCGCCCACCCTGCTCTCCACAGCCCCTGGCAAAGAGCCCCCACCACGCCCAAGGCATTCCATCTGCCCCTCCGAGTCTGCAGCCCCCATAGCTTCCTGTTTGTGTGCCCACGCACCCCCCACCCCCAGCCTGACACCTGCTCCTTAAAGCAAGGCGACAGGATGGGCCTCAGGTCGTCGCTTCCCCTGTCTGGGTCTTGATCTTTTCATCTGTGAAATGGGGCCCAGACTCCCCCCCCTCACACGGTTGTGGAGAGAATCCAACGAGAGGGGCCCACAGCCAGCTCAGGGACGGCATTTCGTGAACCAGCTCTCACGGTCGTTGCCGCGTTCGCCGCTAGAGGGCGCGCCGGCTGCGCCGAGCGGCTGTCACTCGGCCCGTCAGCCCCGCAGCTGCTCCGCCCCGCCCCGCACCGAGCAGCATCAGGGTTAGGGTGGCCCCACGGATCGCCCAAGGCGCGTGTCCCTCGGTGGCGGGCCGGGTCACAGAAGCAGGGCTCTCGGCAAACCAGCGTGTCTCTCACTCCTGCTTCAGGTCCGAATCCAACCCCGGCGCACGCACGGTCCTCGGGGGTGCGGGGTGGAAGCGGGCCCCTTCCCCCTGCTGGGCTCTGAGGGTCTGCGGTCTTGAGCCTCTTCTCTGCAGGGCCCTCCCCGTCCTCTGCAGCCCGCGGCCACGCGGTCAGCGCGTCGCGGCCCCGCGGGGAGACCCCGGCTCGCCCGCCCTCCCTTCCCAGCCCCCCTCTCCGTCTCTGCGGGTCCCCCCTCCGCAGCGAGGCCAGCGACCCGCACGCCCGTCCTCCTGGGAGCCCCCCACCCCGACGGCCCCGAGTAGGGGGAAACCGAGGCTCGGAGCCGCAGGGGCAGCGGCCAGGCCAAGACGACCAACTCCCGGGGCAGCGACCCGAGGTCAGGCCGCAGTGGTCCTGCGAGTCAGGAGGGGAGGCAGGCCTGGTGCGGGGCTGCAGGCGGGCAGGTGCAGGCCCGCAGGCGCCTCGCGAGCTGGGGAGCGGGGCCCTCGGCCCAGCGGCGCCCCCGGAAAGGCCCCCCGCACGCTGGGCTCCACGGAGCGCGCCCCCGCCCTCGGACCCTCGCACGCTGGGCTCCACGGAGCGCGCCCCCCAAAAGGCCCTCCGCATGCTGGGCTCCACGGCGTGCACCCCCCAACACCACGTCCCCGGGCCCCCGCCCTCAGACCCTCGCACGCAGGGCTCCACGGAGCGCCCCCGCCCTCAGACCCCCGTACGCTGGGCTCCACGGAGCGCGCCCCCGCCCTCAGACTCCTCACGCTGGGCTCCACAGCGTGCGCCCCCCCACCACGTCCCCGGGCCCCTCGGGGGAGCGCGCCCGCGCGGCCTCGGCTCCGTCCACCCCTGCAGGCCCCGAGCCGCGCGGGGCTGAGGCCCGGGAGGGGGCTGCTGGGGCCGGGCCAGCTTACCTTGAGCAGGAAAGTTTTGGGCTTGGGTCCCCTCTTCTTGGGCCCGTACAGCTCCCGCTCGCGCTCCCTGCGGCCGAGAGACGCCGAAGGTGACGCCGCGCCCCGCGCCTGCCCCGCGCCCGCGCCCGCGCCCCGCGCCCCCCACTCACTTCTGCTCGAAGGCCGCGATGAGCCGCGAGTCCAGGATGTTCTCTTCGGGCTCCCAGGTGCTGTACCTGCCCGGCCGCACGCACGAAACCGCAGTGAGCGCCGGCGAGGCGGGGGCGCCCCGCACCCCGCGGCCTCCCCGCGCCCGGCCCCGGCCCCGGCCCGCGCCACTCACTTGATCGCCCACCCCTTCCATTTCACCAGGTACTCGATGCGTCCCTGGAAAACAGAAAACAGCAGGACGGGGCGATGGGGGTGGGGAGGGCGCGGGGCGGGCAGGGCGCGGGGCGCGGGGCGCGGGGTGCGGGGCGCGCGGCCGCCGGCCTGCCCCGGGCGGCGGCTCACCTTTCGGATCCGCCGCTTGATGATGGATTCGGCCGCGAAGACCCGCTCGCCCACTGCAGACAGCTCCATCTTGCTCAGCGGCACCCACAGCCCATAATACTCCCCGCTCCCGCGGCCGGTGCTGCACCGCTCGCGCACGCGCCGCAGCGCCCAGGCCCCGGCGGGCGGGCGCGCGCTCGCGCTCCCCCGGCCAGCCGTCACGTGACCTGCGCGGCCCGCGCGCCGTGGCCGGGCCCTCCCCCTCCCCCGGGGCGGTTGCTAGGGAGACGGCGCGCTCGTGGGGCGGGGGCGCGCGCGGCTCTTAAAGGGGCCTCGCCCCGGGGCGGGGGTTCGGCTTGCGCGGGGCGGGCGCGGGGCCGGGCGCGGCACTGTCCTCGCGGCTCCGGGTCGCTGACGCCTTCTCCGCGCTGGAGGAGGGCGGCGGGGCCCGGGAGTGTCCGTGCCGCTGCGCGTCCCGGCGGCAGGAGCGTGCAAACGGTTAAATGTGATGCGGCAGAATTGCGTTTGCTGCCGCCGCGCCAGGCCTTGCGGGAATTTCTTTAAAACATTATCCTCCCCCCACACACCCCGCCTTATCCATTATTTATGTATTCGTGGGAGTGTGGTTTTGTAACCAGGGCGGATGAGTTAAAACAAAAAAACAGCACCGCAGGACAGGGGTGCGGGGACGAAGGCCCAGGCGCCCTGTGCGGGCTCCGGGGCGCGGGTCTCCTCGGGTGGCACCTGCCCTGGCCCCTCTCCCCCAGCCAAGCCGGGGGATTCCAGCCCCCCGCCCACGGCCGCGTCCCCCGAGGCTCCTCAGGCCGGGCCGCCATTGCTCCCGGAGACCCCGCTGCCCCCAGCCCAAGGCCTGGGGACCCTGAGGCTGCCCGGAGCCCACGCAGAGCGGCCCTGCAGCCCCAAGCGCTCCGCCCCCTAGCCCTGGACATGTGCTTTATCTTGCAGGACACCAGCATCATTTTTCTTTGTAAAAGCCATTTTTAAAAAATACTGATAAAAGAAGCAAGAGTCCAGGATCCGCATAAACCCCGTGGACACGGTGGGCAGCCCCGCAGCCCGGCTGGCGGCGCACGGAGAGCTGGCGGCGCGTCCTCAGCCTCGCGGGCTCGCGTGTCCACCCTGGTCTCCCTCGGGGACGCCTTTCTTGAACCCCGGGGTCCTCTCGTGCGGCGGGTGGGGGCGGCTCAGGGTCCAGGGCAGAGGTTTGCACCCTCCGGGCGGGGCCACACAACCATGGGAAAGGCAGCTTTTGTTCCCTGAGACCCCCGGGTCTGTGCCGTTCCCCCTCCCACCCAGGGGAGGACCCCTTTCCCCAGCGGGCTGCCCTCCTGGGGGGCGGGTGAGTGACTGTGACTGAATGGGTGTGGCTGTGGCTGTGTGTGTGACTATGAATGTGTGTTGATGTGAGTGTATGACAGTGACTTGTAGCAGTGTGCGTGTGTGTCTGGGAGTGTATGTGTGACTGTGTGTGTGACTGTGAATGTGTGTAGATGTGTGTGACAGTGACTGTGTGTTCCAGAGTGTGTGAGTGTATGAATGTGTGTGTGACTGAGTGTGTATAACTTGTGGCTGTGACTGAGTGTGACTGTGTGTGGCTGAGTGTGTGTGAGTGTGGTTGTGGCTGAATGTGTGTGTGAGTGTATGTGTGTGTGTGGCTGAGTGGGACTGAGCCTGAGAGTCTGTGAGTGTGTGGCTGTGGCTGAATATGAGCAGGACCAAGTGTGAGTGTGTGTGGCTGAGTGTGAGTGTGTGTGTGAGTGCGTGTGAGTGTGTGTGTGGCCGAGTGGGAGTGGGACTGAGCCTGAGTGTGGGACTGAGTGTGTGTCAGTGGGACTGAGCGTGAGTGTGTGTGTGTGGCTGTGGCTGAGTGGGAGTGGGACTGAGCCTGAGTGCGTGTGTGGCTGAGTGTGAGTGTGTGTGTGACTGAATGCGTGAATGGGACTGAGCCCGAGTATGAGACTGAGTGTGTGAGTATGTGTGAGTGTGTGTGTGGCTGAGTGGGACAGAGTGTGTGTGGCTGAGTGTGTGTGTGTGTGTGTGTGTGTGGGACTGAGCCTAGTGTGGACCGAGTGTGTGTGTGGCTGAGTGTGTATGTGTGAGTGTGTGTGGGACTGAGCCTAGTGTGGACCGAGTGTGTGTGTGGCTGAGTGTGTATGTGTGAGTGTGTGTGGGACTGAGCCTAGTGTGGACCGAGTGTGTGTGTGTGGCTGAGTGTGCATGTGTGAGTGTGTGTGGGACTGAGCCTAGTGTGGACCGAGTGTGTGTGTGTGGCTGAGTGTGTATGTGTGAGTGTGTGTGGGACTGAGCCTAGTGTGGACCGAGTGTGTGTGTGTGGCTGAGTGTGCATGTGTGAGTGTGTGTGGGACTGGGCCTAGTGTGGACTGAGTGTGTGTGTGGCTGAGTGTATATGTGTGAGTGTGTGTGGGACTGAGCCTAGTGTGGACCGAGTGTGTGTGTGGCTGAGTGTGTGTGGGACTGAGCCTAGTGTGACCGAGTGTGTGTGTGGCTGAGTGTGTGTGTGTGAGTGTGTGTGGGACTGAGCCTAGTGTGGACCGAGTGTGTGTGTGGCTGAGTGTGTGTGTGTGAGTGTGTGTGGGACTGGGCCTAGTGTGGACCGAGTGTGTGTGCCAGGGCAGGAGCAGGCTCCAGGATGAAGCGGTGGCATCGCTGGCTGGTTCAGTTGCTTTGTGCATTCACCAACACATGGGAGTCTTGTGTTAATCCCCCGGAGACAAAGGCACACACACACACACACAGAGGTACATGCACACACGCGCACACTCCACATGCGTGTGCACACACATGGTGACAGGCACCAGTGCTGAGCTGCGTGGGCTTCTCCCCATGTCTGTGAACAGTCACCAGCTACCGCGTGGGTTCACGTGACAGCCTGCAGGGCAGGAGTCCCACCCAGTGTCACCACACCGCAGTCCAGGCCGGGTGGGGGCTGGCCCCGGCCGGGAGCTCTGGGAGAGAATCTTCCTTGGCTTCGGCTTCTAGAAGCTGCCGGTGTTGTGGGGCTCATGGCATGGGCACCCCGTCTCTGCTTCCACCATCACGGCACCGTCCCCCAAGGTGCTCCCTCCTTTGGTTACAGTGGGGCCACCCAGAAGCCCAGGCTGGTCTCCCCATCTCAGCGCCCCTCCCTCAGTCCCTGCGGCCAGGTCCCCTGCCCCCAGGGGAAGGCGCAGGGTGGGTAAGGGAGGTGTTCGCGGTGCTGGGGTGTAGGCGGCCAGGATGCCTTGGCAGTGCGGGGAGGGGAGCAACCCGGCCTGCAGGAGACGCTGGGAGGACTTCTCAGAGGCGGGGACATTTGACGTGGGACTTGGAGAGGCATCTGGGGAAGGGACTCAACTGGAACAAGCAGCTCAGAGCACGGGTGGGGTGTTCTGGGGCCAACCTGCACGGCACGGGCTGTTCAGACATGGTACGTGTGTGTGTGTGTGTGTGTGTGTGTGTAGGGGGCTGGGAAGGGCCATGGGTGCCGCTTGAACTTGGACTTGTGCTCAGTGGACAGGGGCTGTGGTACCGGGCAGGTGCCTGTGCTTACTTTCTCTCCCTTGGCCTGGTGGCGGGCGGGCGGGCTGGCCATGTGCCACAGCGCCTGACATTTCACATAGGGGTCAAGGCTGGTTCCCTGGGCTGTGTGAGCCGCTGGCATTTCAGGGAACCGGAGCCGTTGGACACCAAGAATCAGCAGATTGGGGCTGGTGCCGTGGCTCACTTGGTTAATCCTCTGCCTGTGGCGCTGGCATCCCATATGGGCGCCGGGTTCTAGTCCCGGTTGCTCCTCTTCCAGTCCAGCTCTCTGGAGCTGGCCCGGGAGGGCAGTGGAGGATGGCTCAGGTGCTTGGGCCCTGCACCCCATGGGAGACCAGGAAGAAACACTTGGCTCCTGGCTTCAGATCGGCACAGCGCTGGCCGTGGCGGCCATTTGGGGAGTGAACCAATGGAAGGAAGACCTTTCTGTCTCTCTCTCTCACTGTCTATAACTCTACCTTTATATATATATATATATATATATATATATATATATATATATATATAAATCAGCAGATTGAGAGCGGGCTGACCCCACCCAGCTGGAGGCTTCTCCTTCCGGGTCTTGCTCAAGGCTGGAGTCTCAGCGCCGGGTGCTGGCCCGGCCTCTTCCTCCTCCTGACGTCTTGTCATTTGCCAGCGCAGCCTCGCACAGCCGGGCTCCCTCCGTCTCCTGTTGCTCAGGGCGCCTCTCGAGGTGTGGGGAGCAGAAGGCAAAGCCCCAGGGTGCTGTCCCGCCTCCCCTACACTGCTTGAGTGTGGATGGGACATCCAGGCAGTGGTGGCCAAAAATAGCAACAGCTAGAGCTTTGTGTAACAATGTTTCGCGGACACTTCTAGATGCTTTATATGGTTTAATCCCCACACCCAGGAGGCACAGGTGGTTCTTCCATTTCATTTCTGAGGATCCTGGATTTGCACTCACACATGGAAGACCAGGAGGGTGCTGTGTGGCACAGCGAGTTCAGCGGCCGCCTGTGACGCCTGCATCCCGTGCGCCAACTGCTCCACTTCTGATCCAGCTTCCTGCTGATGCTCCCGGGAGGGCAATGGGTGACGGCCACAGTGTGGGGACCCCGATGGAGTTCCAGCCTCCTGGCTTCAGCCTGCCCCAGACCTGGCTGTGGTGGCCATCTGGGGAGTAAATTGGGGACAGAAGATTCTGTGTGTGTGTGTTGTGTGTGTGTGCTCGCACGTGCATGCCTGCACATGTGGGTGTGTTTCCCTCTCTCTCACATTCTGCTTTTCATTCAAATAAATAAGTTTTTCAAAAATGTGGAAGACACAGAGATGATTAAAACTCAGGTTCTGGGGCTGTGGCTCACTGGGTTAATCCTCTGCCTGCAGCACCGGCATCCCATATGGGCGCTGGGTTCCAGTCCCGGTTGCCCCTCTTCCAGGCCAGCTCTCTGCTGTGGCCCGGGAGTGCAGTGGAGGATGGCCCAAGTGCTTGGGCCCTGTACCCGCATGGGAGACCAAGAGGAAGCACCTGCCTCCTGGCTTCGGATTGGCGCAGCGCCGGCCGTGGCAACCATTTGGGGGTGAACTGCCTGCATGCAGGGCCCCCCTGAAGACAGGAGTTCGGAGGCGACCTGCGTCCCGAAGCAGCGGGACTCAGACGCCTTAGGAATCCCCTGCCTCTGAAGCGAG